CTCTCTCTCTGTGTCTCTCTCTCTCTCTCTGTGTGTCTCTCTCTCGCTCTCTCTCTGTCTCTCTCTCTCTCTCTCTCTGTCTCTCTCTCTCTGTGTCTCTCTCTCTGTCTCTGTGTGTCTCTCTCTCTCTGTAGCTCCTGAACTGGTCCTGAGGAAGGTGATCAATTTTTCAGACTGCACCGTGTGTTTGGATAAGCGCAATGCGAGCGGGAAGATCGAGTTTTATCAGGACCCGCTGCTCTACAAATGCTCCTTCAGAACTCGTCTTCATTTCACCTACGACAACATCAACGCCAAAATCCCCGCCGTCATTAAAGTAAGCGGCGCGTCTGTGGTGTGTCAGGATGAGGTTTGTGTTCTCCTCGTGCGTCACAGTGTCTCTGTGTGTGTGTGTGTGTGTTGAGGTTCACACGATGGTGGAGAGTCTGAAGCTCTCTCTGACGGACCAGCAGCTGCCCATGTTCATCCGGCTGATGGAGCTGGGTGTCGCGCTGTATTACGGAGAGATGGGCGTCCATCGAGACGCAGAGAAGGAGGAGAGCGGCTCGCTTCGAGAGAGCGTCTCTGGTGAGTGTCTCATTCTCTTGAATGGGTTTGTTTCTGAGGCTGTCGACTCGCTGGATCAGATGAACTGAGCACCTGTGGTTATGACAGTCCTTCTGTCTCTCTCTCTGTTCATTCGTTTATTGCTCTGGAGACTGTCACATGTGTCTCGAAGCTTCTCAGGAGAGAAACCGAGGCTGAGTGAGAGATTTAATTAAAGCGTGTCTGTGAGAAGATGCTCGCAGTGAGATTACACTCATTCCAGTGCGCTGACAGCAGCTGTTCTCATCGTGTGCCGCAGGTCTGATGGATGCGTCCGATCCGGCTCTGACGGGTCAGTACTTCCAGGGCGAGGATGAAGATGAAGGCTGGATGTCGTGGGCCTGGTCCTTCGTCCCGGCCATCGTGAGCACCGGAGAGGAGGAGGGCGAGGGCGAGTCTGGCCTCTACACGGACACACAGGAGTCTGGAGCCACCCGGCCCCTGCAGAACTCACCCAGAGACCCCATAGTGTCTGTCGGCTTCTACTGCACCAAAGCCTCCGTCACATTTAAGGTGAGCAGAAAAAAACAGGAAAATGCAGAGACAAATTCTCATACTAAATACTGATTAGTATGTATTCAGTATCAGTCGCAAGTGATTTCAGTGGTGTATCAGTGTCAGCAGCTCCACTCCTTCTTCTCTGGCCAGGTCCAGATCTCGGGGAGCTCTCCACGCTGTGGATGATGAATATACTGTATTTTCTGTTTCCTATCACTGTCAGTCCAGATTAAACTCTTTGTGTTTTACTGTCAGGTCACGCTGGTATGACTGAGGATTTATGCTCAGGAGTTTGCTGGTCTGTTCTTCTCAAATCACTTCATCTGATTTTACACTCAATCCTTTTATTCTCTTAATCGTCATCTACTGAGAATCCGTGGGAAACCTGTGAAGTTGATGCAGGACTAATTACAGGGCTTAAAGTTCTCCGGCACCGTGCCAGATCTCCGGCGTGCGCGTTTAGCTGCGGGAAAATAAGATAGTCCTCCTACATTTAAAAAAAAAAACTTGTTGATATCACGTTCGAGTTAATAGCCGCTTTTCCACTATCGGGCCGAACGGTTCTAATAACTGTCAGGTACGGTTCCAGTTGTGCGTGTGCGTGTGCGTGACGTTGCCACTCTGTTGCCTGGCTACCAGTTTCTCCATAGCTGGCTAAGCGGAATCGCGCTATTTGATCAAACAGCCAAGTAAACAGCTATGCTACGTTCAATATAAAAAAGAAAAAAATGTCTGAGACAGTTTGATCTGTGGAGGAAATATTTGTGCTTACTGATATTATACCCGTCGTCGCCTTCTGTTTATTTTATTTTTCGCGTCAAGAGTTGTGTCCTTTTTTCTGTTATTTAACGAAGTAAATATCGGTTAAAAAAGGAGTCCCAAAAACAGAAATATCTGATCATCGTCCATATCGCTGTTTACGTTACACTTGCGTTACCAAGGCAATGACTGACGCATTTGTATTACATTCCAAAGAGCTCCGTTATGAGCAGCACAGCGGAAGATGAAACCGTATCCGTGCTGACTGGCCCGGAATGGAACGGTTAAAAGCAAAGAGAACCGTTCGGCTCGGTAGTGGAAAAGCGGCTACCAATGTATGAGAGGAGCACAGCTTTCACTCTCAAACAAACTAACATTACTAGCCAATCAGACATTTTTGTTCCTATAAACATGAGACGCGCATAATAATATCCAACTGCAGTATAATTAACGGAGTAATCACGTCATCTCCATAAGAACGATATGATTGGCAGAACAAATTTACCCGTAGTTTTGAAAAGGTCCTGTTCACACATGATCTCTTAACGGTAATTTACCAGAGAAGACTGTATGTGTGAAAGGGGCTAAACTCTTCCTCTGCATCTGCGGTGAGTTTGGGTTGCTTAACGTTCATCTGCGGAAACTGCGTTATCTCACTTAACTTGTAACTTAAGTCATTTATAAACCTATGCCAACACAGGAGAATACATCAACATATTTCTAAATACGCGATTTATTGTAGATCGTGATTTCAAAAATAAAACTTTCTCACTTTGCATGTGGCCAAATATTGCAATTAAATGGGTTTAAATGTCGTTGAATCACATGAAACATCACCAGGCCGTTGGCGCCCTCTGCAGGTATTTGTTATAATATAGGCATATTACATTATGTATTTAACAGTTGTTCAATAAAACCATGTACTTGGTTTTCATACTTTATTTGAGGTCAATTATTATTGCCTCATCGTTACTTTATATATAAATATAGTCATATTAAAGCCAGTTTTTCACTTAGTTCTATTCGTATTACTAAAACATTCTTGTCAAAATAATCAGTAGATTACTTGATTAGCAAAATAATTGTTAGTTAAGCCCTAGATTTGTTAAAATGTTTCAAAATATAACTGCATTGTTCTACTTTTTGTAATTAAAAGACAAATATTTTGTCATTCAAATATTTCTTAACACCTTTTGAGCTAAGTGTATCGTCACACCCCTAGTGTCTATGAGCGTGATAAATCTCATAATTTTCCAAGTGTATGACATAGCTTTGACATAGGTAAATCATATATTCATGAAAAAAAAATCAGTTTGAATAAGGAAAGCGATAACTTTGCCATAGTATCCTTTCAAATGTTAAATTTGCCACTGTCATTGCATTCTTTTCATGTGCTGCACTTTATTTGTACCATTTGTTTTATTAGTTTATATATTAGAATTTGAAAGACAATAACAATATTTTTTGATAAGCGATAAGTGAGATCTGATTTTAGTCCTTGAAAACCAAAAGAGTAGTGCAAGTCCTTGAAAGTCCTGGAATTGTATCTGTACGAACCCTGTTTAAGTTACCAGTTCTTGGACCATTTTAATGTTTCTGTTGTTGTTAATTGAACTGAACTGTAGTTTTCTGTAGTAAACTGTCTTTGTATATTTCCTATTTAATATTAATTTCATAGTATTTAATTTACTATTATTTCTTTTGAACAAAACAATTTCAGAAATGTCATGTTTTAGATTGTAGGTCATCTTGTACCCTGTCAAGGACAAAGCTAACCAGCAAAACTTGATATCAGAAGCATCCTAAATGCTACATGTGTTTGCATTATAGTGAGTAAGCTTTCCTGGTATTGCTGTTTCAGATATCCACCATAGGTCCCCCAACCCCCGGAAAAAAGTTCAGGCTCAGGATTTTTTTTTGCTTTAACCCCTGTAATTATTTGATATTTGAAAAACGTTAAAGAATGGTGAATCTTGAGCTGTGGAGCCTGTGGCATTGGAGATGTATAAAGTATATAATAGTTCTCCATCAGCAGACTTACTAGAAGAGCTACAAACGATTAGAGCTTCTTTAGATGGTCTTAGACTGGATTTATGAGCGCGGGATAAACTGGGAAAGTTCCTAGCATATGTTGAAAAACAATGTATGGCATCCCAGTTTCTTGAGACTGTTATTGATTGAATCAGTATAGTTTTCATGAGTCTGTGTTGTCTGGTCTGTGTAGCTGACAGAGAGCTGCTCTGAGAGCAGTTACTACAGTCCACAGAAGCTGAAGTCTCGTGAGGTCCTCAGTGTGGAGCAGGAGGGAATCACGGTGGAGGTGAGGGAAACACTGGAGTCCGTCGCTAGCTCCCAGACCTCCTCCTGCATCACTGACGTCTGCTCCTGTGTTCCAGGCGCTGATGATGGGCGAGCCCTTCTTCGACTGTCAGGTTGGAGTCATGGGCTGTCGTGCTGTGTGTCTGAAGGGCATTATGGGGGTTCGTGATTTTGAAGAGAACATGAACAGAAGAGAGGAGGTAATACACACACAAACACACACACACACACACATACACATACACTCAATCACACACACACACACACTCACACACACACACGTGCATCCATCCTCATTGTGTGGCGATGTTGAGTGTGTGTTTGCTACCGCAGGATGCCGTGTTCTTCCGCTGCGGAGACACGCTGAGCGTTAAGGGCATGACGTATCTGACCAACTCGCTGTTCGACTACCGCAGCCCGGAGAACAACGGAGTCCGAGCAGAATTCATACTGGATGGAAACCTGCACAGGGTACAATTACAGACATGTGTGTCTGTGTGTGTGTGTGTGTGTGTTGTGTGTGTGTGTGTGTGTGTATGTGTGTGTGTGTTGTCTGATCCAGTTGTTTTGTTAGATCTCCTGTCAGAATATATATATATATATATATATATAATATATATAAGAGTCTAAATCCAATGTCTGATATCCAGAGCTAATGAAGACTGAATGTTCTCTGATATTGGGTCATGTCAGCACATCTATTAGCTAAAGAGACAGCAGAGGTTGAGTTTATTGAATCATATTAGTTGTGTCAGTTTTAAAGCTCAGCGCTTTATGTAGACTAGCATAATAGTCTAGATTGAAACTCACAGCCATGTCACGTCTTTTTTTAAAAACTTTTTTCAGTTTTGAGCTTTATTCAGCGGCTTGAACAGGATTCGAGGTGCACATCATCAGTTCATTCATCCCTTTGGGAATCGAACCCATGAGCTTGCTGTTGCTAGCGTGATGCTGTGCTGTTTGAGCTGCAGGAACGCTCTATGAACGCTCTTTTATCATTCCTGTAGCTCCAGTAGTACTGCAGGAACGGCAAACTCATTCTAACTGTACGTCACTTCGGATAAAAGCTTCTGCCAGATGAATGAATGATGAAAGTCAATGTAAACATTTTCTATCAAAGCAGCTTGTGGTGTTTCTGTTTTCTGGCCAGTTCTGAGACTTGAGTTCTGACTGAGTCTGGTTTCTCCCAAGGTGTTTTCTCCATTTCTGTCAGCGATGGAGTTTGGTTTCTTTGTCTTGTTTAGCCTGTCTCTCTCTCTCTCTGTCAGCCTGAGGAGGTGTTCGGAGCGACTCACTGATAACCGCTGTCCTCTCGCTCACCTCCAGCTGTCACGCTGCTCTTCCTGCGCTAGTCTCGCTTAATTAGGTGTCAGTTATAAGATGGAGTTTATTCAGAATATTAGCAGTAGTCACCGCGTCACCAGAGAGGATTGCGGCAGCAGAATCCAGTCTGACCAGCTGCTTTAAATGGGTTAATGCAGGGCTACTGAAAAATGGCTTGAGAATTTCACTTGCCTGACGGGACAAATAGCCTGATTAAAACTTAAGGGACAAAATAAGTAGTGACGCATCGAAACGATTTTATTTCATTCAGCTTAAACAGTGATTGATGATGGATAGTGTATTTCTGGCATCACTGTGGCTCTGTGTGAGACTTCAAATCAAATCGTAACGGCACACAGAACAAACAATACTAAATGCTTAGTTTATTTATTACATGACGTAGTTCAGTATCATACCATGACAAGGGGGATATTTTGCTGAATATTTTCACGATTGCAAATGTTACGTTGATTTTAGTTCAACAAACAAGTAGTTAAGTATATATTTTAGACACAATATTGACTGTTTTGTTCTATTTCACCAACGAAAATAGTTCCAAACAAAAATCAGAGCAGAAGTATAGCAGATCCTCAGCTCGTTTCTGAATGATTCGGTGTTTTGAAGGAATTGTTTGACTTACTGCCACCTACTGCCGGATTACTCTCATGTTCAAGTATGAACTTTCCCCCAACATTTTTATTTAAAACATTAATCTCATAACATTATTTATTGCAGCTGTAATTTTGCAGTGTACATTATTTAGTGTGGTAACAGCCCTGTGGTGTATATTGAATTTCTTGATCAATTGTAATAATTTTATATGAAAGATGACGCATATATTTAATAAGGTTAAAAAATATTGGCCTTTATAAAGGTAAATAACATCCTGGGGTAAATATTAAAAACGTGCAGATTTAAGTATGTAAAAGCTGACAGAACACTGATGAAAATATTAATCGTTTACACTCTCGGTGACGCGGTGCTTCTGTGGGATATTTTGTATCTTATATTGTCTGCTGATGTGAAAAGTTCACTGTATATCATAATAATAAATAGCATTTTTGACAGTGATATATATATATATTTTTTTACATTAAACACATTAAATATTACTGTAACGTAGTTTGTAGTCACGGGAAGAAGGAGGCGGGAACCGGCGGACGTTTAAATAAACTTTAATAATAAAATAAACACAAAATAGCGCGACAGCCCCTCGCGGACGACTGTCGCGCACAAACGAAACCAAAACACAAAATAAAATCCAGGCCTGGTCCTCTCTCGTCCAACACGGTCGTCACTCCTCCCTTTTATCCTTCCGGAGCTCCTCCGTGAGACTCGAGACCGGTGAGTGGGTGCAGGTGTCGCTCATTAGCAATCACTCCACCGGCCTCGCTCCGTTCCCACGGCTCTCGGCCCCGCCCCCACTCGTCACAATTACATATACGTGTGTAATATAATGTGTATTTCCATCACAGGTTTGGTCTTAAAAAGTCTTGAATTTAACTTGTTCATATCTATAGACACCCTGTTTTTTATGAAATACCAAAACCGAAGGATTTTCTCAGTGTTTGGTTGCGTTCTCGCACGCTGATGCAGAAGTACTATGAGAGTGTAATTCTGCAGCACCCCTAGACTGGATATTCTTGAACAAATAACAGTGACTGTTTTCCACTTTGTGAAAGAAGAATGAAAAAGGCAAGAGCACTTTTGGGTGGCTCTAGAATGTCTCTCTCTCTCTCTCTCTCTCTCTCTCTGTGCCGTTCTGTCGTTCCGTGTCAGCCTCAGATAGCAATCTAAGCGTAAAGCAAACACAGATATCGTCAGCTTTGGCCGTCAGGCTGATCTCTGAGATGCAGATGAGTGTCGCTCCTCCGGCGAAGCTGAATGACGCTTCCCGTCAGGAATGTCGTGTGAGTCAGAGCCTCGGAGACTCGAACCCGCGACCCTCGTCCACATCAGAGCGCCAGCGCTACATCAACGAAACTCAAACCTGCGGCGCGCTCTCTCTCATAACAACTGCAGCGCAGAGGCGCGGATCTCCTCTAATGCTTTAAATCCGGCTAATTTCCCTCCCCATGTCCTTTAGCAGCGCTGCGAGCTTCCAGATGTTTGATATTAGACTTAATCCAGCCCTGCCTTAATGGGAAGTGTGTGTGTGAGTGAGTGTGTGTGTGTGTGAGTGAGTGAGTGAGTCAGTAAGTGTGTGTGTGTGTGTGTGTGTGTGTGTGTGTTGGGGGTCTCTAGCGGTCAGCTCGCACTGTGTGAGTCGAGGGTCCTGATCTTCTGCTTCCTTTAGGCCCCATAATCACCCAAACAACCCATAATCCCAGAAACGCTCGTCTGTCAGTGCGTCTGCGATGAACTGCTTGTTTTGTGCTGCTGTTTTCCAGTTTGCGTGGGGCTGCAGGATTTTCCTGCGCTGCGTAAAGACGAGCCGCTGCTGGTGCAGGAGACGTCGGTGAAGAGGATCGCGGTCGGTCCGTTAGACCTGCAGCTCCACAGCAGTGCTGTCCACCGGATCCTGAAGATGGCTGCTTGCACGCTGGACCACGAGTACCAGCCCTACTGCAGACCGCAGCCGGGTAAAACACACACTCACACACCCATTAATCCTCACAGTGCCGCCTGGAGTTTCAGAGCTTAGGGATTAAACTGTTAAAGAGTTATAGATGATAAAATGAGTAATTATAAATAAACCATGCTAAGAAATAAAATCAAATAAACAGTTGGTAATAAAATGAAGAACAAGGATCTCAGAGTGCTCGTGGTTTCTCTTATTAAAGTGACTGAGGTTCCTGTGGTCAGTTTTGTGGTTTATTATTATTATTATGACTGACGTCACAGACAGCAGCAGGTCTGTAAGCTGCATTTACACTGTTTAACCTCCGTCTGTCTGACGTTGTGTCCGTCTGTCTGATATTCTGTCTGTCTGTCTGATATTCTGTCTGTCTGTCTGACGCTCTGTCTGTCTGTCTGATATTCTGTCTGTCTGTCTGATATAGGGGTTTGACACACATGTGCATATCCATGTAAAGAGCTTGGCACTTCTGCAGCGCTCTGTTGCGCCTACTATCTTTAGTGCTGAACTGAGGCCGCCCTTCCTCCTCCTTTTAGCGGGTGTACCACTCAGCCTCGTGCCTTCCACCATCCTCCCCACGGGTCACACTTTTAATTACATAGAAACAGTAATCCCATCAGACAGATGGCAAACAGGCCGTCACCCAATGACTTTATGCCCAATTGAATCATTACTGATGTTATTTGCTAAATTATAGCAAAACACAACAACACCGCCGAGCGGGATTTGCACGTGAAGCTAGCGAAAGCAGATGTGCCCTCCTGTCGAGCATCTGTGACAGAGATCAAGAAGGCGTGAAGACGGGAAGTGGAAAGTCGGGTCTGTTTTAAATGAATAATACTCTAATCAGTGCGAGCAAATGCAGAACCTTATTATTAGTTGGGGAAAACAAACGAAAAAATATGATTCCTCAACCGGACAAGACATTTCCAACCAACTTGGTTTGGTAAACCACATAACAAGCGCAATTGAGAAGTGACGAGAGTTCTTTTCTTAAAAGAGAGAGCGTGTTTGGTTTATGGGCTTTGCTCAGCACCGCCGTTTGTCTTTGGGGAACATCCCAAGAATCCACTCTTTCCTGAAAACCAAACACCAAGCTTCAGTCCACAACCTTGCTGCCAGAGCCCATTCATTCTTTCTCTCACTCACTTACTCGCTCTGTTTTTCTGTCTGTCTGTCTGTCTCTCTGTCTGTCTGTCTGTCTGATATTCTGTCTGTCTGTCTGATGCTCTGTCTGTCTGTCTGATGCTCTGTCTGTCTGTCTGATGCTCTGTCTGTCTGTCTGTCTGATGCTCTGTTGTCTGTCTGATGCTCTGTCTGTCTGTCTGTCTGTCTGTGTGTCAGTCTGACGCTCTGTCTGTATGTCTGTGTCTGTCTGTCTGACGCTCTGTCTGTCTGTCTGTGTCTGTCTGATGCTCTGTCTGTCTGTGTCT